ACAAACTTTCATCCCCTAATTTATGCCTTTGTGGGTAGAATTAATCAAAATCCTTTCTTAGCGGATGCCTACGTCATAACATCTACCTGCATGCCAAATATCAGCCCGATCCGTCCAGTGGTTTGGGCTATGCGTTGATAGATCACTATGTCAGTCACTTTTGAGTTATATATATTTAGATAAATGATACTGACTTGGCTGGTGATGAAATAGTCCACCTGTTTGCTCCAACAGTATATGCCGCTGGGGAATGTATAGGATGAATATAAAGTTAGCCCGTCGTAGCGAATTTACCAGCAATTAACCACGATGGTTTTCAAGACAACCGGGCAGAGGTCAACCTGGCGTTGCTAATAATTGGAGGGAAGGGAATTGTTAGTAATGGCATCTAGTGTCCCCATTGCTAGCAATGTTCCATGTAAGGTTGACCTCCATGCGGTTCCTCCTGGAAACCATCATGTTAAATTCCTGGAGAAATTGTCACGATGTGCTAACTGACCTGTCCTCATACACCTTTTATCATTCTCCACTCGCGCATCGCCAGCGTATACCGTTAGCGCAGGAGACTGCACTATTCCATTATCATCCCTTAAAAAATACACATTACCAACAATCCCTCATGCATCAGGGTTACCTCGGGTATCTATAAATGAATAAATAATTGACGTGGTCCTGTTCATATACAGATAAAATTTGGTATTTTCAATCAGGTGGCCCATCGACTTTTTTGCTATTGCAATAATTTAAAAATTATAATCTGCAGCTTGTATTTGGCTATATATCTACTTTTGTAGCATAAAAAATCTATAATACAAAAAATGATTTACCTTTTTCATAAATATTTATATTCATGTCTCAATTTAAATTTGATTTATATTCAATGTTAACCCGCCTAAAAGTGTTGATTTTATAACATATAAAAACGACGATTTCCATAAAAGTTATACAAATATATTCATGGAAATATTGGTCCTAAATTTTAATGTACCATACAGTTGCTGCAAAGCAAATAATAATATTTAAAAGTAATCAATAGAGGTACATTTACATATTGATATTTAAAAATAAATCGAATACATTACATTCGACGTACGTCTGTAGTCTCTGGAGTTATAAATTTTAATCTCAAAGCACTCCCAAGTAGCCAAAGAATGTTTATGTTAAACAAAGTTTACAATATGAGACGTGTTTACTCAAATTACACATCGATGCGATATCCATATCATTTTTCAAATGAATAACTTTAGTCCATGAATAAACATGTTTGGATATTGTGTTATTTTCCCACAGAGACACCTATAGTGTTTACTATCAAACTTTAATAATAAATGGGATTGAACTTCATTAGCTTTTGTATTAACATACGCGTGGGTGGTAACAGCAATTAGACTCGGGTATTAGATTTAAAGCAACGATTGGCTATTATCTTAGAACAAATCAAACAAATCTAAAATGTCTTTATTCGTGTAGGTAGGTCTAATTACAGACACTTATGATAAGTTAAATCTACCATCAGTTTAGAATATCGTATCGAGTCAAGAAGAACACAAACAGGGATAATAAACTGAGCTCAGTAATAATGTAAGGCAATTTACACAGCGCCATCTAGTCCCAAGCTAAGCAGAGCTTGTGTTATTGCTACTAGATAAGTGATATAAATACATTTCTTTGTAAATACGTACATAATATACATATAAAATAACCAGACCGATGCAAACAATTGTACTCATGAATACAAATGTTCGTACAGTGCGAGGAATCGAACTAGCGATGGATGCTTTACAGCTATACAATCGAGACAATTAAATGAGATTGTACAAGATTACAAAAATACAGAATCCTGTTTAAATGAAGTTGGAGAAAATATGGTGACTGTAAAAGATACATCTTTGTCAGTTTGTGTGTGTTGCATTTCAGCCGGCAAGCAGCTTACTTTTTAAACTGTGTTTCTGTTGATCAGATCAGTAGGTATACGAAGGCATAAGATAAATAGGTCCTCCGAATGGCAACTAATTAGTAGTATCACGGGTCTCACATGATAACGTGATAGTCGTAATGCTATTCAAGTAATAAGCGACTGATATGATGTCCGTAGTGCTGTTCAGACATATAGGCATTACCAATTACCATATTGTGCTTGTCATTCTAATAACATAAAAAAATAAGATTACAAGCGTTGATATTATTATTTTCTCATTAAAAAATGCCTATTATAGGTCAGATTTATCATTTTGTGACTCATAGTTAATCAATAATTGCAATCATTATTCCGTCTCAACAGTTTTGAAGGCTGTTGGGTCTTGATTGTCAGCCTTTAGTTGATTAATTACCATTACCAGCTTATTGCGCATTGGGTTTGTTACTACTAGTTGTATCACACGACGCTGTCCATGCAATATACGACCTATGTTTATCGATGATGCAATTTAGCTATCAAAAGTTGAAAGAAATTTAAAAATTCCTCAAGTTTTTGTAGTTTATTATGAGAAATTATTCGGATTAGTACCAATTACTGAATTTCACCATCGCACTACTCGCCGGAAATTGATCATCTGGATGAATGGCGGTCATCCACCATGTGTGTTTCCAGAAACTTTTTGCCATTCACAACGACATTGTTGAATCACCTTCTAGTAATGGTATTTCCGAACTGATGCGATATTGAAATCTTTAAGAAAAGAGCTTATTCCTTCTTAAACAGCCGGAAACGCACTTGCAATTCTCCTGGTATTGCGGGTACTCATGACCGATGGTAATCACTTACCATCGTTGCTTTTATGATATAAAAAAACAAACCTAAATAAACATCTTTCCTCTACATGATACGTATATAGATTATTTTGAAGTTTATTATTTTTTATTTGATTTTATTCAAGCATATTAATAATTTTCTTCAATATAAATGGTAAACAGCTTTATACAAAGATTTTCTAAATATCCTAAGGTAACCAATTCAAAGACAAGAGTGGCTGCGCGAGCGCATGTCACATACTCGTGGTCGAGACATATCTGCGTTATTTATTGTCTGCGTCCGGCGGCGCGGCCGCACGATTGTGTTCACCTACGAGCGCCCTAACTTATTGGGTACCAGGATACCAGGATGTATGCAATGTTTATAATTATTTTCTATTCCATTTTAATTTATATTGTATTTCGAAGCTACTTTTCCTAGATTCAGCGACGATTTTTCATTCTTTGCTGAATTTGAATTCTGAACGCGGGGTGGTTTTTAATTTGACTGTGGTATTATGATTTAAAAGAGAGAAAATAGTTTTATGTGTATGAAACACATAAAACACGACAAAAATAATATATTAAATACAATTTGGATAATTAATTGTGGTACCAAATAACCGCTCAGCATATATGCCGTGACGAGGTACCACGACGCTGGTATTCTGAGGATATGTTTTATAAGTATATGATACGTATAAATAAATCTACGAGCGTAAAATGTAAAAGTGTATAAAATATAGTATACATAACTGGATATATTATGATTTTCTGCTATTAAGTAGTTTACATTCAAATATGTAGAACTGTTTAAAAGTATACGCAAGTTTCCTTCATAATCTTCTTGGCTGATCCCCGTTATCGCAACTTTTGTCTTTTTTTTTTAAATAGAAATTGTTCTTCCTCGTAATACTTATATCTTCATATTTCATTTTATTGAGATCTATTCAGCCGTTTTGCTATGAAAATGTAACAATCAAATATACGCCCTTTCTAATGCATAATATTAGTATTCTAAGGATTATATTGTTTTTATTTAGTCATCTAATACAAAAGTATCATTTACATATTGAATAGTCGTATATGTTCATGTAACCATTTACGTTGTTCGAATGTGCTCTAGAGATTTTGTATTGTTCGCTGAATTATATGCTAAGTCACAAGGAGCTATTGTATGGAGTTGGCGACCGCCAACAAAGTAACACGATGGTATAAGTTTAATAAAGTGAGCTAGCTTTGAATAGAATATTCTAGCACAATCTAGTTTGGTTTTAGAGACCACCAAGTAACTGGATTTGTTTGTGTAACTATTTATTTATGTTAGTTTATTAGAATCACAATTATATAATTATTTACAGCATTATTGCTCTAGCATTGTCTCTGTAAATTGTTGTTTGTTTATTATTTTATTATAGTTATAGGTATGTATTAGGAGGGCCAATAAATTCTATTCTATAAAATAATACAGTAAAAACATACCATACATTATTTTTATCCTATCTATATCCTTTCCTTTCAAGTATAGTAGTAATTACATTACACTTTTACAACATTTCACTGTTGTGTTAATTACGTATTCCCATATACAGGTTAGACGTAAGACCTGTATTAGTATTTTGAAAACTGAAAAATGTACCCATAAAGTTTGGAATAGTAAATATCTTCTGATAGCTCTGTCACCTAAGAATTTGGTATGAAAACTTGATATTTTGTTTTACTGATACTTTGTTCCGTGCAGTTCATTTTTAAATGGTTTTTAGCTTGGTATAGCAACGTACGTCTGTAGTTAGAAATAAAATTCAAGACCACAAATATAAACAAAGAAACATAATTTTAGTTCAGTTTATTCAAAATTTCAATTATTAACGCAATATTAAATCATTTAACTATTAACAATGCCCATAATTTTGATACGCGTTTCAAAAAAAATTATATAGGACGTTGTAGTGAATGCAACTTTTGACATACCCACATTTGGCTGAGAATATTTAAATCAACGTGGGCGATGGTAAACGGGGCGAGCCTTCCGCCGTGTCTCGGACTTGAAATATTATTAGATAGATTTGACTTAATGCATTTTAATTTTAAACGTTAATTACAACATCTTTATATGTCACGTGGGATAATGATTCATTACCCTGTTTTAAATTCTAAAAAAAAACCTGTGTCAAATTACAAATTTCTTCTAAAAATCGTATACGGTAGGGATTTAATCGATAATAACTTTTGTAATATTTTATCTTAAAGTTTATTTTCTTTTGTTACAGTTGCACGTCCCGATATGCCGGCGAATTCTGTCAGCACCTCAACCCCTGCCACAGTGAATCAAGTCCGCGGTGTCAGAACGGTGGATCGTGTAGGGTGCGCCCTGGTGCTGGCGGTGGACCTCCGTCCTTCGCCTGTGACTGCCCCTTGGGGTTCAGTGCATCTCTGTGCGAGATAAGAGTACCTGCGGCTTGTGACTCCGCGCCATGCCTCAACGGAGCCACTTGCCGGCTGACGTCACTTGACACGTATGAGTGCGACTGCCCTCCCGGTTACACAGGTTAGTTTTTTGCTCTTTTTACATAGTTTGTACCATACATAAAGTCTGCGTGATTCCTATAACTTACCTAATTAATGAGGAGGTTTTTGAGATAACTTGACGGAATTCTATAAAAAATAATCCACGCTTTTCTTAAAGTCAAATGATACCTGTTTGCCAAATTTCATAATGATTGAATAATTCAACCAACCAACTAAATAAACAAACATCGCCTTTGTAATGTTAGTATTGATTTCCTTCTAATGAATCTTTGTAATATTAGTAGTGATTTTTTGAGAGAGTTCTTTGATGAGAGTACATGCTTTATGCAAAGTTGCTAACCATTTTATCCCATTTGCAATTGCAACTAATTATAATATTGTTACATTGAGTAACTCGGTAACGGTTCCTATAATGAAGGAAACACAAGTATAATGACATAGTTAGCATCGCAAATTACTACATGCAAGTCACTACACTGTTCAATAGTCTACAGTCATACCATTTCATTCATTAGATGAAGTGGCGCTGCAAACAAAAGTGTTTAATTGTAATTAATTACTTCATCTACGAGTACGTTGACAGCTTCCAAATGGAGGTCGATTAATTCAATACCAGCAAATGCTCGTGGCTATCTACGTACACCACACGTTGAGTCGAAATTATCAAAATTAGCTGATGCTACTACAAATATTATTATATATAACAGTATAGCTGCTATAGTCTCTTTTTCTCTACTTACCTACTTCTTTTAAACAAAGTATCAAATTTTGGATATAAATAGATATGGTTCTTAACTAAAAGTATTTTTATGAATTTCTTATTTATTATTTACTCTATTGACCCATAAAATATGGTAAACAATAAAAGATGGACTTAATGCTAGCATTCCATCCCAGTCAACCTTTGGGAAGTGAAAAGATCCCGATTGCGAGTTAGCAATAAATGCGCATATTATTTACAAATATAAAGTAGTAATAAATATACGTAAAACTTCTTTCGGGAGATTTAAATGCATAATATTGTTATTGTTATGTATACTATAAGTACAATCATTCTAAAACCAAGGTGCAGTTGGTCAGTACGCATAAAAATAAATCTATGATGAAATTTCAAATTTGGAAGCGATAGTAATAGGGTTAACAATTTAATAAATAAGTTTGTTTACTTAATACCTTCTGTATCTAAATATATAGCAGATTTACCAATAATGAACGATTACTTTGCTACTATTTATCCTGTCAATATTGTTAGACAGACTGTCTGCCATCGACTAATATATTCTTAAGGAAACACAAAGTGTCTTCGAACAAAAGAAATGAGATATGTTTATTCACAACTTTGTTGCTATTGACGTTTATCGTGCAGTAATTTTCATATTTGTAACAAGAATAGTTCGACCTAATGATGTTCAATTAATTTTCCTTATTGAGAAAATATTTAATCCAATCAATGAAAGAATAATGTTACTGACTATTGATATTACTATTAATATTGCGTCATGTATTTAATTAGTAGATAGGATTATTATTAGTATAGATTAGTATTTAAGGTTCAGCGAAACGCATGTGACACCTCCGCTGCTTTGTGTTCAAGAGTCCATAGGCTACTGTAAGCGTTTACCATTGAATGGGCCGTGTGCTTGTTTGCCATCAACGTAGTATAAAAAAGGAGATAGAAAGCAACATTGATATTACAAATGTTTAATCACATTTTTATAATCCCTCTGACATTTTGCAAATCTGGTTACAGATTCAAGCTAGTTTTGTAGGGATTTGATTTCCAATTGAAAGTTTGTATATACACGTTAATTCTGAAATTCAATATATAATATTCAGTGTATGAATTATAAAATTTATATGGATTAAGATCATCAAATAAATAAGAAACACAAATTATTTCGAGATGCTGGTGATTCATCCTTTATAAAATTAATAACACTGTATAAAATTTTATATCTTGACATAAATATTAAACAGGTTCATAGAATCTAATAATAATAGTAAATAGTCAAAACTCAAAATCTTAATTATATTTCCTTTTATATTACAAGGATTTGATCAACACCGTCGCACGTGAGAACGTTTCAATTACAGTGAAATGTTATCTATCAACGTAACGATAGGATCTAAACTATAAAAAAATATATAATTTAAATAAGGCCAACAGATAACGTAATCTACGAAGTAATACCTCAGGCGAAACTAGTTTATAAATCAGCGAATTAAATCATATTGCAGATAACAGAAAAAATAGAAGCAATATATTTTGGAAAGTCGCTTGAGTTTCGCACTTCCTTTCAATTTCTGGCTTCTTACGAATGTTAAAATGCAAAAGGCTTTAATACCTAAGTACTAGTGTTGAAAATGAATTTGTCATCCGTATTATTTTGATGGTAAACGTAGGTATAACCCGCTTGTAGACCAAGACTACTGTAATTTTGCCGACTGGTTTATTCTATGGATTGTGTAATTAATATTGCTTTCAATTTTCGTGTTCCGGTGTTAAATTAGTTAGCGCAGTTGATATGAAATTGACTAGCAATTAGAAAGGAAGAATCTAAGTATGAAAGATGAGTGTGTAATGACGTGTTTGGAACTGCAGAATCAATGATAGATGATAAAGCTCGCTATCCATATATATATAATTTATTATTAATTATGTAGTTAAATTTGTCTAAAGATGTTGTAGATTTTATGGCGCTTATTGTTATTACTCATTGATATAGTAGATAATAATCCTGGACAATTCACACAGCTCCATCTAGTCCTAAAGTAAGCAGAGCTTGTGTTATGGATATTAAACACTTATATACACTTTTTACTTATACTACTTTTTACATAAGTACATAGAAAACACCCAGACCGATACAAACAATCAACACATTAATACAAATGTTTATACTGTGCAAATCAAACCCTTGACCATCGGAAGTATGATTATGTGTATAAGTCGCAATTGACGCCTATTTGAACAAGACCACGGTTATCAGGTCATTACGTAAAGCCCGAGTTTGTACGTCTGAAGAAAGGGCGAGCAGAATAGATATTTGCAGGTCGCAGTATCGCAGGTCTACCTGGTAATAGCCCAAACGCATTGTTAAAAAAAGTCCGTAGTGTTTCTTAAGTGTTGCCATTCTCCGGAGGACTAAGGTTCTCCGTCCGTACATTAGAATTAGGAGAGAAACTTGAACTATCATTAAAAATAAATAATAATTACATGCGATAATATGCATATAACACCTACTTCAACAATATTTCTCTATCAAATAAATTGAATTGAATTTACAAAACCAAATAGCTAAGGAATATGATTGCTGTAGATGATTTTAAAGAAACAGGATATTTTATAATTAATAGAAATAATGTTTATTCAGACAAATTTAATATAACCACTTTAGAATAGTCATATTTTTTATCTCATCGCAAGAAGAATGAGGAATGAAACTTGCGTGTTTCTCTTTTATATAAATGTTGTTCAGCATTAAATTTTTATGATTTTTTATGAATACAAACTGCCAATATCACGTTTAGTTTAAGGTCCTTAAAAGATCAATTTTAAATTTAAATATTAGTAACCGGTTTACAGCTTCTACAATAATATTTTACAAGCTTTAATATTGTACTTGCTTTGTAGTGTTTCTATGCAATATATTTTATCATTATTTATATGAATAGATATGTATATCTCTTTAATATTATAATGAGGTACCTAATGCTTTTAAGTTTGTATGTTCGGATTACACTTCGGTATTACTGATCCGATTTTGAAGATTCTTTTAGTGTTGAAAACAATAGTACTATAGCACGCTTCAACCAATTGGAGCGGAGCTGCAATGAAAAAAGTTGCTTGGTTCAGCGAATTACCTATTTATGTATATATATGTATATATCTTATATATTATCTTATAAATAAAATTGTCGTATCACAATTTTAGTAACCCTACTACTCCGAAACGGCATGACTGATTTTTATGAAATTTTTATAGGTAGTTACATATCAATAGGTTTGAGAATCGGTTACTATCTATTATTCATACCCCTAAGTGGTTTGGGTTATCCCCCCCAAAAAATTATATTTAAATTTTTATACAATTTTTTTATAATTTTTATTAATTAAGTAAAAAAAATATATGGATTTATGTATTTTAATGACGAATTATGGTCATTAAAAAATACATAAAACCCCAAATTTTCATCCTTCTACCATCATAATAATAATCATAATAGGGGTTCTATTTTTTAATAGCGATATTAGTACTTAAATTTATATGGCAAAACAACTTTTGCGGGGTTAGCTAGTATATATATGTTGTGTATATATATGTGTGTATATATGTAGTATATATATATGTTGTATATATGGTATATGTGTATATGTTGTTCTCTATTCACTCTATTCTCCCAAATTTGAATTTTAAATACTGTATTTATCATAAACATGTTCCACTATTATTTGAAAAAAAAAAACGAGCTGAGTTTCTTGTCAGTTCTTCTCATCTCGATATCATTCCGAACTGACGGTAGATTTGACTTATCATAAGAGTCTGTAATAGACCTACATGAATAAAGATATTTTGAATTTGAATTTGAATTTGTTGTTAGCGCTTATCCGTGTGCTTATAATGTGTGCCGTATTAATAATTTCAAGGTGTTATTAACCATTATCACAGTCACATTATCAGAATAAGCCATGTGAAAGCCAATAGAAAGTCCGACAATTTTAGTTTCCTGGATTACATAGGTTCTATTTGAGATGTAACAGTTTTTTATTGCTACGCTACTAGTGTGTAATTTGACAAATTACTGTGTGAATTCTTCAATTTGGATTCGTGATTCGTTAACATTTACAGATATTTTATTATTTGGTGCCATGTCTGTTTGGTGAACGTTAATATTATTTATTCAATATTGAAAGTACATATTCTTAGACGACCTCGGTGGTTTAGTGTTTTAGCACATCACTTTACTTCTGATGGTGGCGGGTTGGATTCCTCGCACGGCACAAACGTTTATATTCATGATTTTTGGTATCGGTCTGGGTGTTTTCTATGTATAATATGCAGGTACAGAGTAAGCCTGTTTTCAAACGGATAATTTTTGATTATCTCTTGAATGAATAAAACGGTTTTTAATTATCTATTGTTGTCATAATATGTATGTAAATTTCTCTTTTATTTAATTTTATTGGTGTATAAATGTGCCGTGTATATATATATTATTATGTATTATAGTAGGTATATATTTATATTTATGTATGTATATTTGTAAGTATTTTTAAAAAAACCTATTTACCTATGTTAGGTAAAATTATAAGTTAGTCCTTTCCCACCACTGCCCATCAACCGCTTTCTGTTCTTACCTTCTGTTCTTAAGGGTAAGCTAGTAGAGAATGCCATATGGCATTAAGCTCGCCAAATTGTACAATTTTTAAAAGAGCAATAAATAATAAATATAAAAATAATTAAATATGTATTTACGAAAAAATGTAGGTATATCTATGTATGTGTATCAGTTATTTAGTATCCATAACACTAGCTTTAGCTAGCTTAACCTCGGTCTGGATGGTGCTGTGTGAATTGTCCTGAGATTATTATTATTATCATTGTTGTCTCATTGTCACAGCTTTTGGTGGTTTTTTTACGCTTAGTGGCGTATTATTATTATTACTTTATATATTAAATCAACTGTTTATCAAGAGGATTTGGAGGTGTTATGTATTCTTCTCTTTTGAATCTATAATTTAAATAAATCGACTTTTAAAAATATATAATGAAATGGTGTACTTGCTTTAATAATTTAAGCTTACGGGGCACTTGTGGAGTGTGATACGATAAGCATCAGATCGTTGCGAATTCATCAGTAATTAATCTCGATTATTTGTAGGGAGAAGCGCATGGCGATGCAAAGACGAGCTATTATTCTTTATTCTCTTAATATTTTTTTAATGTATGATAATGGAATGATGCACTAGCCAGTGCTGATGGTTTACGCTGGCAGGGCACCAGTGGAGAATGATAAGATGAACACGAGGTTAGGTCAGTTAGCCCATCGCGACAAATTCATGAGGAATTTATCACGGTGGTTTCCAGGGGAACCGCGTGGAGGTCAACCTGACAATGGTACATTGTTAGCAATAGCGTCGTTAAAATATTACAAAAATGCTTATATGGCGGTTAGGAGCTAGTTGTTGTGTAAAAATTAAAAAGTAAATAAATACCGTTTATAGATCGTGATATCAGTGCAGTAAGCTGATTTCAATTGGGCTTGTTTCAACTAATCAGACTCAATTCAAGTACTTAGGCATGTCGATTACTCAGACAAGCATTCCAATTAATGACGAATTTGTTACATACGCGTATTGGTGGTGGTATTGCAACCATTAGCTGTATATGGTATGATTCAAGGCTATATGACTAGTCCTTTGAAATAAATAAATAACCCTGGACAATTAACACAGCGCCATCTAGTCCCGCGAGCTTCTTTTATAAGTACTAGACAACTGATATAAATGTTTTTTCTTTTATAAATACATACATCTCAGACATAGAAAACACCCAGACCGATACAAATAATCATACTCATGAATACAAATGTTTGCACCGTGCGAGGAATAGAACCCGCGATCGGAAGTAAAGCGGTATGCTAAGACCACGGACGCCGTTTTATTAAAAGTTAGGCTTTGTTTATTTCTATCTTGTACTGACGTCCTCTGTGGTCTAGCGCGTAAAAAGGGTTTAACTCTTATTTCCGATGATCCCATGTTCGATTCCTCGCACGGATCTATCGTGCCAGGACCATTGTTAACTTTACAACATTGACCGTTCTATTATACGAAGAAGAAATTTCTTTAAGTAAAATCATTAACAATTTAATTATCATAAATTTATAGTTCAACAGATTAAACGTTGTCAAACGACAGTCCAGATATATTAATTATATCAACTGGTTTATATTTCCGATTTTACGTCATATTTTCATCTTAAAGACGCTCGGATTTCATTAAATTAATAGCGCTATTAACATTTTATTGTATTTCCAACTCGTCTACAGGTGTTGCATTACAAGTATTTCTCCTAATTTCTAAAATCCTAAAACTTATCTCTAAAACCATACATAGCTAAAATATAATAACTTTTAATAATGTATATTCAAGTATTATGACATATTAATAATATACAGTGCAATGTTTTGATAAAATAAAACTTGTTTTCTGAATATTCATATAAATTATAGCAAGTGGGTCCTTTACGCAGAAATAAGAGATACTTAAATATTATTTATTGAGCCGTAGTTATGGTAATTTATGGGAAACTTTTTAAATATTTCACACATGTTTATTCTGTGTGGAACATAAACTATTTGGTATTCGTTATTTTTTTTATAAATAATAATAATAATAATAAGTCCTTCGTTACGATTGATTTTAACATATTAATGTATTGGTAGGATTCTAATTAGTTTAAATAATTTAAATTCTTGTTTGTAGAGTAAATATAAATTGCAAAACCAATAATCAATTTAGGTACATTTAAGTAATCTATAATGTACACGACTTATAAGTACATATACTTATATACGTCTGTTCAGAAAGGCTAGAAATAAAGTAATTCTAGAAATAAACATTTTGTTCCACTGAACAAAACAGTGATGAATGAAGAGTTATTATTAATATGTATTCATTGACAAAATAAAAAAAGATAAAAATACACTATTATAAGAAATTATTAATAGAGAGGTTCAAATTTAATTTCAAATTAAGAAGGTTATTCATTTTTTATTTTCTTGTATGCAGGCACTGAATGCTCCCACGAGGACCACTGCGCGTCACAACCATGCCGCAATGGGGGACGGTGTGTTGCGGACAATACAACGACTGCTGGCTACTCTTGCGCCTGCCCACCCGGCTTTACCGGCCCGCGATGTACTGAAGATGTGGTAGAATGCTCGAGTGGCTCCGGGCCGTGCCACCACGGGAGATGCTTCAACACCCATGGGTCGTACACGTGCGTCTGTGACCCTGGGTACACGGGCAGGGATTGTGACGCGGAGTATGTTCCTTGCGAGCCGTCTCCTTGTCTACATGATGGAAGGTGTACACCGTTGGATCAGCTCAGATATGAATGTGATTGCCCTACCGGTAAGTGCACTTTTTTAATTATCCACCAGGAAACGAACTTTGATGGACGTAGTAATTTTTATTTCTTAGACCAATAGAAATTACTGACTTAATTGACATCTTGTTAATCCAAAGAATTGAAAGCATTCAGAAATTACATCTATTGCTGAGAATTCTTTCTAAAAAGACTAAAATCAAATTTCAAAGTAAAACTAAAGTACCTAATTTTGCTTCTTAATATAAATTGTAAAACTATCATCTGTATTTTTTTATGGATGATAATGGAATGATGCACCCTCCTGTGCTAACGGTTTGATTTTGGTAGGGCGCCAGTGGAGAATGATAAAATGAGCTTGGAGTCAGTTCAGTTAGGCCATCTTGGCAAATGGCAATTTACCAGAATGGTTTCCAGGGGAAACGAGCGGAGGTCAACCTGAATGGTAGATTGCAAGAAATGTGGTTATGACTAACAATTCCTTTCCCCTTTGCCATCATCTGCATTACACACATGCAGTTTTAATCGATGCAATTACTAAGCGAAACCGAGCTTTCTGATCGCTTCACCTAGTTACTATACATTGGCCTACTAAAAGCGTGTTCTAAAGAAATTACAAGCAATACCGGATATTTTTACGCATTTTATTTACTTACTTCTTTAGTAGCAAACAGGTACATATTTGTAGCTAGCTTTCTTAAAATTAAAGATTAATTGGACCCAACCTGAATTATTCCATTACTAAACATTGGCATAATATTTTAGATTTTTTCGATTCGCCATTTATTTCCTATATGTGTTTATAAAGTAATAATGTTATTCAGATTCTAAAATTCAGTATCTTTTCATCTTCTGATTCATATCAACTGTCATGTTGAAGCTCACGTTTATATATTATCTCTTATATAGTTCATCCATCCTTTCTAATGTGTTCTTTCCTTTTAAGGCCAAGCATCAAAGATAAATTCAGAAGCATAGCTTTAGCCACTTCTGCATATAAGTTTAAATTACTACGTTTAACCCTTCCTTTCCTTTACTATGTTTAACCTTTCCTTTTTTTGTTTAATAAGGAATAATTATTCCTTCTTACCGCGTATATACTCTGTCACAGAATTATATTAGTTTAATTTCTTTTTATTTTAACGATGCAACTTTCAGATCGGTAAGATATTTATAACTTGGCTGTTAGTTTTTGAGTTCTGCCTCGTTGCCATATTCATGTTATTATTTATTGCCATATTAATAAATATTGCGATTAATAACCGAGACGTTGCTGATGGATATGGTTTTATATGCGTCAATTTTCTATACATGGACATACATAAATAAACATGCATTGCTCTTTCATAAGTCTCGTATCCTTTTTAGATCGTGTTCATGTCGTCATCGCAGTATTTTATTGGAATAAATTTTTGTATGGTACTAGCTGTTCTACAATTTTATTTGCTTGGAACCCTTTAATTTCTGTTTCCTTAGGAATTTGGTCTTGTAGGAGTTGGTTTGCTAGGAATTTAGTCTTTTCTTACATATTTGTATTCTAGAAGTTTCGGTGCTTATTCTATTAGACAATTATCTACGCGTTATTGCAATTAGAGGGTTTTCTAAGTTCTGATTATGTTTCATGATTTGTTTCACTGCTTCGAATCCAATATATGTCCTTTGGTTTTTCAATATGTTTATCAATCTCCTTAATTATAAATTGAACATTAAAACTTACATTATAAGTGTTATACTATTTTACCAGAGTGTAGATATTATTTGTTATTACACATTTTCTTCCTCTCTTTCTAGAATTATACTATGAATTTATATAGCAATGTGCTCAGTAAAAAACACTTGAAATTAAAGATCGAAATATCTTTAAAACTTTTCCCATTTATATTGTTAAAAATATAACTTTTTTTTATCCACATCAAAATTTTTTAGGATTAATTATAATATAATTGCCCCTTATGTTCAGTGAAACTGTAAAGGCCAGCTTCGGCCAACAGCATTAGATTAGTTCGAAAAAAGATATATGAGCGTTCTTTTTGACCTTCTTCTTTTAAATCGGTTTTGGATTGTCAATGGTTTTATCAGATTATAAAATGTGGCGCCATATACTTTAAAGTATAAATGATAAGAGGACAAAAGCGCCTCTGGGTGCAACCATTATGTTATCTGTACAACGTTTACAAGTATAGTATACCGGTACCTTATGATTATCTAAGTGTACACAGAGTAATAATTTAAATAATAGACGATCCACTCCATAGCTAGCTCTTTTAATTTATTTGGTTTTAAGTAAAATGTTGGCTTTGGTTTTTGTTTTATCTATGGGTCAGTATTAATGTTTTAAATACGAAAGTTGTCTGTATTGGTATCTGTCTATTTCTTACTAGATTGTATCTGTATGCCATATATACCATGAGGCCATATTATATCATATAAGCTATATTCGTTAAAAAATGTATAGACAAAGTCGTTGTTACCTGTTCTTATAAAAACTAAGACGGAACCACATCAGGGAAACGTCATTCGATTAGAAAATCATCAAAATCACCTTCCTTTATAAATGGGCTATCAAACACTGAAAGAATTTTCAAAATTTGTTCAGTATTTCCAGAGATAAGCCTCTACAACCCCACAAACTAGATAGGTAAATATAACACGGAGAAAACAGAAGATTTATTTATTTATATACTATTTACTGCACCACATATTTTATAAAGAAAGAATTTTGATAAATTCAACCCCTAAGGGGATAAATTAACGCGAGCGAAGCCGCGGGCAAAATCTAGTATACTATAACTGTGCGAGATTTCGTATTCTTTCGTCCGCGCAATTTTCGTAAAAAGGGGTATAAAGTTTTTGCTTTACGTATTAATATATACACCCGCATTCCAGTGATCATCGCCAGCACCCATTGGCATGTACGTACATGATGGTAATGACATCGCATGGGTCCCAGGTTGCGTGTCTGCCTGATTTATTGTCATGCTCTAGGTCTGAAAGTCGGCCGTGGCCGCGGGCAACCACGACTTGCCCAGTTCAAATCGAAAGCTACACTTAAACTAACTTAAGTCGAGTTATAAATAACGTTTCTGTTTATATTTATACGCATTGAGATTCATTTAAATAAATATATGTACGTACGTAATATATTCTGACATTCATAATTTTAGTATACTAGCTATTAGTATATGCGCAAATGTGTCCGCGTGGAATTTAACTATGTCATAATTTAGTATCGTAAGTTACTCTATAACATTAGCTATCTTTCAATATTACAAACAGACACTCTAATTTTATTTATATGTATAAATAAAGGAGTACAGAAAGATAATATTTATGACACTTAAAAATATATAAAATTAATATGAAAATTATTACATATTCTACCGTATGACACAAACATATATAGTTATATTCAAGTATGAACGTTATTAAGGTTCTATTGCAAAAGTCTATAAACAAAATTTTTTCTACTGTAAATTAATTCAAATTTTAATCAATAATTTCTCGTGTGGTTGTATATAAATTTGAAAAAATTTTGACTAGTAGTTTAATCCCTAAATAAAAATTAAACTAGTTGACATACTTAGATATATTATTATCTTAATTTTCTAAATAAATGAAGATTACTGTAATTTTGTGACGGTAACAAAAATAAGCATTGCATCTTGCGCATTCATTACTGTTGGCAATTTAGTTAAAACAACCGCGAATATGCGATATTACGACATCTTTGTGTTACATAACATTTTTTTATATAGCAGTCGGCGCCGCATCTCGGCTCGGCTTCATTAGCTTCATTACGTTATTGCAAAATGGAGTGCTGTTGCAAGTTGAATTGTAACCGGTGCTTCTGTTTCTGCAAATATTACCAAATGTACACTTTATATAAAGTCATCTGTATTAGTATCTACGATGTCATATAATTCTGCCACCAGTACCACCTTGCTTTAGAAATTGTTACCATTTGGAAGGTACGATACGGTAGTTAAATCATAAAGATGAGAAATGCTTTGCTTAAGAGGCAATTGTTAAACGTATAATTTGTAGTGTTTTTTTTTTATGATAATGGAATGGTGCACTCGACTGTGCTAACAGTTTACGCAGGCGGAGCACCAGTGGAGGATGATAAGGTTAGGATGAGGTCAGGTCAGATTGCCAATGTGACAAATTCACCAGGAGTTTATCACGATGGTTTACAAGAGCATCCGCGGGGATGTCAACCTGACATGTTGGCTACGGGGCCATCAGTCCACATCCATCCTTCCACCAAAGCATGAGTATCTACTATGCCATCTAATTCTACCACCAGCATATCTTACTTTGTGAGTAGTTCGGATTAAAGGGTGAGCTATGGTAGTTAAATTGTTGGGTACGAAGACGTAACTTATGCCTCAGGTATACAATATAAGTTAAACAGTAATTGGCCTTCAACCTCCACCTTAAGTCTTTCCGCGGGTTTGGAGTGCCAACTGCACTCGATTCCTATCGTTTGGTAAAAAGCAGTCAAGCAGAAAGTCCTTCAACGGATTTGGGTTATCATCTGCACTCGCCCCTTATCGTTTAGTGAAGCTGTAAGGGCTACGGCCAACAGCATTAGAATAGTTAAAAAAATAAAAATTTTCTATCAGGAGGGCTGGTAGCAATTTTGCTTCCAATTACGTAAAAAGACGCTTCGTGTACAGTAATTTTAACGTTGATTCATTCAGTCGCAATTTGTGCTAAATACCTGTTAATTTGATACGTATCTCACGGAATTGTTACATATCTGTTAAATTAGTCTTGGGAATAGAAAGCAGACTTTTCTTGTCTTAACGTAGGTAACTACGATTCTTCACTCATAAAATACCAGCAGTTTTACACCACTTTGACTGTTTCCTTTTTATGTAGGAAGATAGCCAATATCCTTTATTTAAATAATTGTCTCGTCAAATTTAATTGAACACACTTATTTATATTAACGTTATTAGTAGGTTTAGTTAATATCTTCCACTGTTCAAATATTTAAAAAATAATATTCTTGAATAATAGACCGAGTCAACGTGCTCCCTCTAATATGGTTCAGTACAATGAATTGGCTCATTGGTCATACTCGTGAACGGGTGCTGCTTGTGGGTACCAAAATACAACATTGCTGGTGATATCACTATATTTTCCATAATTTAATTTAAAAAAAGTGTGTATTTGTAATCATGTCCAAACTTATTTGAAAAGAATACGAGCTAAGTTTCTTGTTAGTTCTTCTTAGCTCGAAAGCACTCCGAATTGACTGTAGATTTAACATATAAGTGTTTATAATAGACTTACACAAACAAATATATTAATTCATACGTGAGATTATAGTTCGAATTTATTTATTTAATTTAGATCATAGATAGAAATTATTAGATTCATAGTTACGAAAAATATTAATAGTTATTCCAGAAAACTCTCATCAGACACTAAGTTAATGAAACAAATATGTTACCACTTAAAATAGAGTGGCAATGACATCACAACAATTTTAAGTGTGGGAATAGTAATGAAGTATATATTAACACCCCCGGTAATACGTCTTGTTTGGATGCAGTTGTTACGTTTTAATCATCATTTTTCTTCTATGAATGTGCTGTTCAGATGTTTATTTTTATGTAACTTTACCTTTCCTACGGACAAAATATGTGAAATTACATTCCCTGAAATTTCACTGTCATATTATTATACCCTTCAAGTTGAAACATAACTTACAAAGCTGCTTGGTGAGAGACAGGTAAAAGAGTTTCTAATAGGTATGCAAACTGACATCCAATTAAATTAGTGATTTATTAACAAACTCACATAAAACATAAATTAAAAATTGATTAGCTTTATTCAATAATAATTTGTTTAAACGTTCAATAAATTTATATTTTATAGTTTTCTCATATCGTTTGCTGAACTCTTCAGTCTATTAATATTGATTAAGCGGTAAATATATTAACGAACTCTTTGATTCTTTTGCCGCCATTTTGGCGTCTGCGATGACCTCACAGATTATTAATTAGGAAACACATGTTTGACAGATTAAAATTATAGCAAGCACATGTGCGTCAAAGAGTAAGTAATGTAATAGTTTCCGTGTATTCAAAGCAAACTTATGGGAATGATGGGAGTGAGGCCTCTCACACTTTAAATATGTTAATCTTTTGTAGTTTATGTCAATTCCGATTCTCAAATGGTATGGTATGAGTGTTTGACTGTATGAATTATGTATATTCAAATACGTCAATACACGACAATATCGTATGGAGATGGTTATCATCTTTGGTATTTTTATTATTATTTAATACGCAAGCATATTGAAATTTGTTTCTTTTTTATAATTATTATTTAAATAATGAAAACGATGATATTTTTTTAATTTATTATTTTATAAAACTCTAATTCAACTGCTTTTAATCACTGCAAATCCATAGATAGTAATTATCTAAATTGATATTTTTTTTAAAGAAACATAACATTTTGTTGCAAAATAAAAACAAATCCATACTACTATCCTCCATTCACGTTTTAAATTTATATCTTATAAAACAATTCTTTGTATGATTAATTTTAGTTTATTAGATATATAATAAAATCTACGTTAGCTCTAGATTAAATATTTTATGGTTATTTCCTTAAAAAGGATAGAAACGTAAAATTAATGTTAGAAACATGCCTTTTATACCGATATGTCTAAATTTAGAACTGAACGTTACCAAAATATTTGTAGCAACGTGGCAAAAACTCGTCGAAAGATTTAGTTCCCCGCTCGTTACATTTTTATATCTCATAAACAAACACACATGTGGCGTCCGTGGGAAACTACAGGCAGTTAATGGTGGTAATGAGATTCCTTGCCCGCTAATCGAAGTTTGTATGGCTCGTTGTATGGACCAACCGATGTGTGAATGTTTTCGACACTTAATTAGATGATTTGGCCAATACAAATAAAGACTTTGGTTGATTTAGCTCAATTATATTAGTGTTTATCACGTGACTAGTCTTGTACTTCGGTGATGTCCTTTTGTATTCTGTTAGTGTTATATGTGTTAATGAGTGGGCCTAGTTCTGTATATATACAGTGAGACGGACATAAAATAAGGTAGCGCCTTCCTTTTTAAACTTTTTCTTTCTATAAAGTATGACATAGTAATCATTACATAGTATAAAACAAAGTCGCTGTCACTGTCTGTCCCTATGTATGCTTAAATATTTAAAACTTCGCAACGGAATTTGAAGAGGTTTTATTTTAAATAGAGTGATTCTAGAGGAAGGTTTATATATATATAATAAATGTACACCCGTGCGAAGCCGGGGTGAGTAGCTAGTATGTTTATGAAAAAGAGGCTTTGAGGCATGTAAAATTCCATCCTAAAATACAGATTTGTGGAGGTGGTGGAACTACATATGGAGACCTGTACTAGATATCCGAATAACCTGTGTCACGATTTATATATGTCAACTTACTGTCTCCACTGCTACCATTAAAATAATTACATAATTATGAATTGTTTTACAACCTCTTTTTGCAATTCTTACACACAAAAATACCGTCTAATTAAAATCTCTCTCCTTTTGATTGTCCTTCAGATCCGTTCATATTAAGACGTCACTCAAAGTAGTATCAAGATCTTTTATTAAACATATGATGTACGATTCGGTGTGAACATTTTTATTAAGTTAGCAGAAACATAAAAACATTATAAACAGATGGCGTCTTGATAGACAGACGGGTTTAAATTTTTTATATGTCACAGAACATGTCATCTTTTTTATATCATAACTAGATGTGCCCGCGATTGGTTCGCGCTGCGCACGCTACGGAAGCTCTCAAATATTAATTATCCCCGTTTTTGCAACATTTCTCACTCCTGCTTCATTTTTATTGGTGGTATCGTAATGTTCTATAGCTTAAAATCTCCCTCGACAAATGGACTGTCCAAGATCAATATTTTTACAATTCGAACAAGTAGTTCCTGAGATGAGTGCGTTCAAGCTAACAAACAAACAAACTCTTCAGCTTTATATTATTAGTATAGACGGTGGCAAATAAGCATAGCACTCATGTGATGGTAAAACGGTAACCGTAACTTGTGGATTGGACTGATGAACTGAAAAACATGAACTGTACGCATTCGACAACGTCACAGACATAGAGACAGTCAAGTCGACTTTGTGAGACAGGTTTCACCCAATTCTAACATTAAGAGTAATAGGTTACGGTCCCTGATGTAGAATAAGATGTATGGTGGCATCGGATGTTGAGTCAATCTGATTGCCAGGGGGATGGAGATTTTGTAGTGTGGATTAATAATCCCATTGCTATCTCAAGTTGACCTCCTTTCGGTTCCCTCTGGAAACTATCATGTAACATTTCTTGGGCATTTGCCACGACTGTCTGACTCATCTTCTACTGGTGCCTGCCAGCGTACACCGCTTACTCAGGCGAATACACTATTCTATTATCATTAATTACAAAAAAAATATTTACCATTTTAGTCGCATAAAAAGTTCTTAATATGCTTTTGTTAAAACACCATATTGTAATCCGTCCGTGGAAATGCTAGCATTAATTCCGCTATTTGATTTGTTTGCGGTTTACTAAATATTGCTATTTTTCCCCAGGATATCGAGGTCAGAATTGCGAGATTGACATCGACGACTGTCCCGGAAACCTGTGTCAGAATGGCGCCACGTGTGTGGATGCACTAAACGCGTACACGTGTGCGTGTCCACCCACATTTACGGGTACACGATGTGAGAGCGACGTCGACGAGTGCGCCCTGAGGTGAGTACAGTTTTAAAAATTAGCGATATTCCACGAGTCCAAGAAAATATGCTAAATTTCCATGACCCACACACTATGCTTGATCCGGCCAGGAAGTTATATCCGGATATCCGGATAGTCGCTTTTAGACTTAATAATATTAATACAAATGTAGCGCAGTGGTTTCACGCCTCATCCCATCATTTACAATGATGTGATGAGGTGTCGCTACATAATATGTTGTCTATAGTGTTATATAGGTAGTGAGTATACCGGTGAAATAATTGTACTATTTATTGTATATTACTAAGTTTACTGAGAGTGTGCTATATAGCTTATTAGTAACGCGTACATTCGACAAAGGGACGTGACGTGGACTAACTTTACACTGAACTTAAATGTATGTTAGCGAAGACGTAAACTAATGGAAGGGTCTCAAGTATTGACAGAAATATAACAGTGTAGGTACACTACTAATAATAATATCTCAAGACAATTCACACAACACCATCCGTAAGTCCGGAAAGAAAGTTGTATATTATCTGAAAAAAAAAATAAAAAATGCATCGAATCTTATTATTACCGTATTGGTAATAAATAAAATATTGTCAAATATTATACGGTCGTCAAAATTTCGGCGCGGTCCAATTACGCCGGTATCCTGACAGAATGAAAGCTGGAACGGATCTTGGGATTATTCTTCTAAAAAATACGACGTGACGATCAAAATTGTACCCTACTTCGAGAACATATGGTTGGAAACAGAGTATTACATCGATTATAACACGATTCCTTGTAATTCGATATCGGACGCCATCTTGGGTGCACGCATGCGATAGCGGCGACAGATTTAAAACTGGATAGTAACTTCTTTTTATTTTGCGGTTATTATTTCTTGTGAATCTAAAATTATGATAAAATATATACACATATTTTATAATAATTTTACTTTTGTGTTGAAGTTAAAGCTGAATGGCCTTATGGTCTTAGGCTATCTAAAAAAACAATAAAAAAATTTAGATGTGTTATGTTTTTACACCCATCTATAGACATTGATTAGTTTTGACGTACTATTTTTCTTGTACTGTGTACAATACTTTAATATATTTTTTTAATTTCTATAATAAAACGGTTAGTTGGAAAAATATTATTTCATAATAAATAGTCAGTATAAGTGAAGATGTTTAATTAGTACATTACATAACCTAAAATTTATATTTACGTACATATCTTAATTCAAAATAGCTGTAAAAGTTACGAAAAAAAATATATAAGATAGTTTAATATATCAAATAGTTAAGATTTTTGTATCTACTAAAAAAAAGTAAACAGTTGGCAGAACTGATGACAAAAAGTAGCGGTAATTCTTTCCCGCCAAATGCGATATGATATGGCAAAAAATAACAAGATAATGAAACAAATTACCATCCAATCATGTTTGGACGAGGTAATGATATCTGCAGTATCATATTGAACACTTTTTATAATATATCATGACGGCGATGTTATATCAAACTTTAATTACAAACTTAGTGAGACAGTGAATGACCTCTTGAATACGATTTATAGGAAAGAATAAGATACTATAGACGAATGAATCCGTATAAAAGGAAAGAGCAACGCCGGAATACAAGCGAGTTTAAGAGCCGCAAGTTTTACATAACAAAAAAATGCTACCGGATTTTATGGATGGGTTACATTTCCTGATATTTCTTTATTTCATAATTCATAACAAACATCATTTATTACATTTTTTTATTTTAATTTATTACATTATTACAAATTTTATTTATTTCATAACGAACTAGCGACCACTGTAGTATGACACAACTGCAATTTATTCTCTAATGTAGCTTGCTGTTCGTTTTTTTATTAGGTCATGTAGGACAAACTGTCCTACATGACCTAATAAAAAAATGAGCCTATGAATGTTGTTTGTATAATATAAATATTTTTGTATGTTTTTCTAGAGTTTCTAATATATTAGTAATAGGATAACTTCGAGTAAAATATCAAGAAGTAATTTTATAATACATACATATCCGATGAACATCCAAAACTATGTTTATATCATACATTTGTTTTATTAAATCACTACAGGATATCAAAATAATGTCTGATACTCCCATTCTATGAAATTAATCGTTCATATTTATACTATTAATAATTCCACCAAATGCGGACGTGGGGACCGCCCGCTGCAATAGACCTCTTATGAAATAGTATCGAATTTACAAAATTTAAGTTATCTCACGATTTAGAAAATAATTGCCTCTATCCGTAACGTCATAAAGTTCAAAATCATTAAGCATTTAATAGAGAAGCGTTGGGATAATTTGGTTTGTATACTTATCCGCTTTTACGTTGTTCCTTGCTTCTTGTTTTAGATGCAAGGTCTTCAAGTTATTGTCTAAATACTACATTGAACTTTGTAGCCATAGTGTGTAAGTTGAATTTTGAATGTATGGTTGTGGATAAGAGTAACGTCATACTTTCCAAGCAACTGGCTCATGTAAAGGAACAGATAGTTGAGTGCCTAATATCTGGTTACTGTTGTGGATGTTGGACATTTTTTCTTGATAACCAACGAAAATGTTCAAGTACATTTTATTTGCCTGCTATTTTAATACTCGATAGAAAGCCAAACGTATTTTGTGTAAATATAAATTTAGAATTTTAAAAGAACTAACGCTAATCAAATCACACAAGATTTGTTATAAATCTAATTTATTATCTCATCTTAACCCTATGACTTATAAAACTCTTGCGGTTTTTATTTCTCATAATAACATTAAACTTTAAAACCCATAATTCTATGATCAAAATTTAACCCGCTCCTTTCCATCATTGTGTTAGTGGCATAATAGGAAATACTAGGCTCTAGTCAAAAAGGAAAAGATAACTAGTTATCAAACTATGACAATCTATGTTTTATGTAAATGATGATCAACATATCGTGATAACGTAAAATATCTAAGTCTAAGCGAATATATGAAATCCAGTCAAAGATCTAATTCGGGTTAAAATAATTCTAAGTAATGCCTTGCACAACATTCGAGATAACAGAGATCGGTTTTTTATAATCAATTCATTCCCAATTCCAACACAAATAGGAATTTAGAAACGCGCTGTACTGTAGGCGACAATTAAAATATTTTTAAGTGACTCAAGATCTCGAGATGAAAACACGTAAGTGACATTATTTGAATACCAATAAGCTACCTATTTAAAGTGTCACTTCAATGGATATGTTTATTCATAAAGCACGCTCCAACCCATAAATTTTGTGTTCAGTTTATTAATTTTATGTATCGTTGCGTGTAAGTTCTTTAATTATAATATTGTATACACTAATGTCTTTAATCTAATCGAGACGGTAGCTAGGTGTCTGAGAGAACATTAATGCTACTACAGGATGGCTGTTATTATTTTGTTTTGTAGAAGCATTATCGTCTATTTTAACACTAGCTTTTTCACCGTGTAAGAGTAGAGACATCTCTATTAAAGGTAACCTTTTTTAGGATGTATCTCTTGCGTCAATTATTACCTGATCTCGTATAATCTAATATAATAATGATTTTCTATCGTTAAATTTTAGATGTCTTGGATTAATTTAGACTCAATTTTAACGACTATGTCAAATAATTTCAGGGTGGAGCATTAACTATGACTTGTATACTATAAAGGATTTCAGTCTACACCTAACTCTTTCAGAAATTAAAAACTACAATAATACAAGTTGGATAGACCTCAACATATACTATTTCGGTTTTTGAATAATTTATTATTGTAACTTTGTCATTACTACTTGCTAAAATAAAGCCTTGGCCACAACTATAAAGCCGATTGTTATCGATCGTATAATGATACCGATTACAAAACTATGATTAATAGCTGTTCGATAATCTTGGAATTGAATACGGTATCGATATAGTAGGCCGGCATATTGTCAGTAACAAATGATAGGTCCAGATCTTGATCAAGCAGAGTAATGAAGACTTCGGTTTTTTTTCTAATGTTATCAGAGCCATCGGCACAAATGCAAATTACTGTTTATAAATTGTACGCGAATGTTTATATAGGTATTTTATAGATGATATCTTTTTAACTGTTAGAGAAATTTAAAAATAGACCTAAAACTTTTATGTGTGAAGATCGAATAAAGGAAAAAGATAATATTTATCTAAATAACAAGGAGTAATGCGATGTAGTAGAAATCAATTATAAATATTATGAAGTAGATGTTAATTAATATTATATTTGTCATTTATTCCATCCTCACACATAAAATATCTATTTTTATTATTATATTATATAAATTATTTATTAGCATAACAGTAGGCTGTTATGCTAATAAATAATTTATATTACCTGCAAGTAGGTTCATATAAAACATGTTTATTATTACAAAACGTAATAAACACTGAAGTAGCTTGTTTGTTTGCCGTATTCATTAATAGGATCCTTTATGAAACAATTATCTGTAGCGAACAAAGAATATGACGGTGGTAAAATGGATTACATTGGTGTTTTATGATGCAAAACATTATAGCTTTATGAGGATTTATAATATATTTCCTTGAAAGATAATGTTTAATTGAAGCTCAAGTATAACGCCTGATCAGTAGGACCAGTAAAAGTCATAGAATAGAATAGAATAGAAAATCATTTATTCAAATAAACTTAATTTAAGCACTTTTGAACAGTCATAACAATTTGTTTTTTATCTACCACTCGTTCGGAAAACTGTCTCATCACAAGAAGAACGAGCAAGAAACTTGTGTGTTGCTCTTTTAAATAATCCTTGTAAGTTTACATCGAAACGTGTGAATACAAACTACCAACAAGCATTAATTTTTTGGGTCAAATATAAATATGCAATAAGATTAAATCAGTCGTAGTGATAAGAGCAGACCAGTCCCTACAAGCAGCACTCGTTCACGAGTATGACGGATGAGCCAGCCATCACTGCGCTCGACCATATTTTAGGGATATTACATACTTGATTTACTCAAAGTAAT